CTGAGCTGAGTTGATCGGTGCTGAGGTGATGGGTGCTGAGCTGATCGGTGCTGAGCTGATCAGCGCTGAGCTGAGCTGAACGAGCTGAACTGAGCTGAGCTGCGCGGAACAGGCATGGGTGGCCTGCAGAGGCATGCTCGCACCTATGTTCGGCTGATGTATGGGGCCGTAAATATCACTGCGACGGCTCCAGGATGCCGTGGACGCGGATGTCTCCGCTCCCGCACGTGCCGGCTGTCCAGAGAATGGTTTGTAGTGGTCGGCAGCTGGTAGGTTTTGGTCAGCGGTTTGATAGTGAGTGGTCTAGTACCGGCTGCCAGAAGCAGGTTTATGGTGGTTACTGGTCAGTGGTCGGTTGGCCTGCTAGTCGGTGGGTGGTCTCATGTTAACATCCATTCGTCATTACTCACCTATTCACCATTCAGCAATCAACAATCAGCAGTCAGCGATCAGCGATCAATACCTTCCTTTCAATGACGACCAGTGGTCAGTCAGTGATCGGCTTGCCGCCACTCCTACCCGGGCACTCCCGCTCTGACGGGCGGGTGGCGGGTGGGATTTGACGACCTTCAGTTGACGTGGGTGCGGACTGGCCACTGGGTTACGGGCCGCTGCAGGACAGGCCGTAACGCCGAGTGCCGGTGTTCGTGACAGCTGAGCTCCGTCAGGGATTATTAGCTCCACCGGGGATCCTGCTCCCATCAGAATGAATCAGCATTTACGTCATGGGCAACATCCACAGCCATAGGTTATTGTCAAGGAATAAATTAATTGTAGGGCGATACATTGCTTCGGATTCAATAATAAAATTTCCATTTTTATTCATATATCATATTTGTATGTTTTTGAAATTGCCTGAATAACTATACCGATAGGCATTCGTTTTTGTTCACAAGCTCCTATTCCTGGAAATGGAAAGTATGTACCTCTAAAGTGCAATCATCACCGCATTACGCCTCCGTCTTCCTGGACCCAGACCTTTGCCTACAACAGCTCTGTAGCGGAAGACAGTCTCGGCAGCGGACAGTTTCAACTTTCAACAGCAGATATTCCTGGGAGCGAATGCTTTCAACAGCGGAGCCCCGGCGGCAGCCATCACCGGCAGCAGCACGGAAGTCTGGGAACGCCGCGGGAGCTGACCTCTGTTACGCTGTTCGGCAGACACCGGGCCGGCCGGCCGCCGGGGAACCAGCTCACACCCGGTGGAGGCCAAACACCGCCCAGTGTGACTCATATCGGGAGTGATCGGCGGAGCGGCCGACTGGCACCGCTGTCCGAGCCCCGGGGGTTTCAGCGCGGAGAGCCGCGCTAGGTCAAACAGACACGTGTGGAGCTGGGGTCGGGCTCTCAGGCATGCTGTTGTATCTCATGGCATTGCTGTGATAAGGTTTTGGGCCCATGTGATGTGATTCTCCAGCTGGAAATACCTGGTGAAGAAGCGTGTGTCTGCTACGCCATATTGTAAGGCCTAAGAGGCATGCGAGTGCCACTTTGAAAGTTCACTTGAAAAGGCTTAGCAATGCTTTTATGAAATTGATTTGTTACCGCTATGAAAGAGAACTGCTGAATTTATTACATGGACTTAACGACGCTAAATTTAATTAATTCCGAAGGAACCGATATTTAGTATGCCCTTCTAACCACTGACAGCCAAATCACTTAAAGATAAACAGATAAGTAGTTGTGTTGACAGTTCCTTGCGACAGCATTGCCCATGAATTAAACTGCAGATTGACATTTCGATTGCACGTCACAACTCTGGAGCTCAACCCGAATATTTTTACAGCTTAGGAATCACTATACTTCTTCAACAAAGTCAACAAAGTGACCTAGCGACTATAACCCGATCCATTCCGTGGCGCGCGGCGTCCGGCGGTGTCGGGTCAGACAGACCAGACAGGGGAGAGGTCACGAGTGGAGGTGGGCGAGGTCACGCGGTCACGTCTAATGAAGACCGTAAATCCTCTGCATCGACCAATTAGCGGCTGACGGGCGCCCGATGAGCGATACAGGCTGGGGATCGATCCCGAGCGGCGCCCTCAGGGCCGCAGAGAGGGCGCCATGACCTGCACGGCCGGCGGCGAGCGATCTGCGTATCGACGGCCCGCCGACCCCGCCGCCCCCGCCGCCGCCCCCGCCGCCGCCATCGACGGACCTGAACGCCTTCCGCCGGTTATTTCCTGACCATGGCGTGTTGGCCAGATTGGGACACTGTGGAGTGGTACTGGTCACCGTCTTGAAAATTAAGCGTCGAGGAAGACAGTGTTCGAGATGGTGCTCTCAGGCTATATAGGTTTCGATATTGTTGTCTGCTGAATGACCGCCTCGTTTAGTGTCATTTATCATGCAAGGTGAGCTGTGGGCCAGAACTCAATTGATGCTGGCTACAACAAGTTGTCAGCCTAAACACCGTCCCGTCTCGGCGGCAATTCTGAGCTGTTTCCCCACTCCGAGGTCTCTACTCCTCTGTGAATGACGTGCTGCACAGTCCGGCGTGCTGCCAATGGCAGTGGCGTTGGCACATTCGTCCCATACCCCGGTGACGCCATGCAGCCCCTTGTGCCCACGTTAACTGGAACCGCGGCGGTAGCAGCACCGTCACGGCTTCCTGGCATTGTTCTCCGCCGTTTCCGATTGTTGATGTGCGGCGGCGGTTCGAGCAGTAGGTGGGCGTGGCCCGTGGGAGCTGTGACTGCTCTCCAGACCCGCGGCGGGGCTTGTTCTCGGGCTCCTGCGGTGTTTCTGCGGCGGGGCTTGTTGTTCTCGGGCTCCTGCGGTGTTTCTGCGGCGTGGCTTGTTTCTCTGGCCCCTGCGGTGGGGTTGTGGTCGAGCTCTCTCCGTGTGGTTGGAACGTGGTTGGAGATGACCACAGTTGTTGACTGGTGTAATTTGTGAAGCACACTGGTTTGCTCTTTCGTGATCTTTATTCATTACGAATTATATTGCAAGTAATTGTATTGAACATGTGTCGATGTTTATTGCCAGCCTATATTTGTCCCCTGGATAGGCCTACAAGCTCCTTATTAAAGTGATTCCTACATTGCGCTTCCTTGTGATCGTTGTTTACTCCGAATAATATTGCCAGCAATTGCTATGGACATGTGTCGCTTCTTATCACCAACCTATATTTGCCTCAAAATCGGATAGGCCTACAAACTCCTTATCAGAGTGATTCCTACATTGCATTCTCTATTGAAAAATCCTTATGATAGTCAGCAGAAACGGTACTTTCTGTGACAATACGACCAGTTTCCTGGTATTTATTGCTTGATGACGTGATGTTCAATATCACTGCTACCAATTTAGTCCAAAGAGGCATTTTCTGCGCGATGCAACGATCATAGATATGGAGGCTTAGCCAGGTGCGACTGCGATACAATCCGATCGGCTGTCAATAATGAAGACAGGCAGGACTGCAAACGACTGACTGATCACTTTTCCCAAAGATTTTCAGAGTTCTGTTGTTTATTTGGTGCCTGAGTGAATCACCAGCAGTGACGTGCGCCATCGATCGGTGAGGTGTACTGTGAACAGGCCAGCTAAAAACCACAACAGCTGTTCATGACATCATAACATTACGTTTCGAATTGTGGTTTCGAGTATTGAGTAGCGTTTGACATAGTTGTACTCGTATAGCAAAATGCAAATCTATCACTCATTCCCTTCATATCGTTTGAGTTATGTAACTCCATCATGATCTACGCTGAATCAACTGCAGATGTCCACTGTCCATTCAGCGGACCGAGCAAACAACCTTGCTGGGGCGCGGAACGCCTACCACCTTTTTTATGTCGGTTCGTCTCCCGGGCCCAGTGCAGTGCAATAACTGGTCCCGAGTCCCAACAACTTCTGTTCGCTTTCTGTGTCTGCGTTTGACCGTCTCAGGAGCTCTCACCTTCACCCACCGTCTCACCACCATCTTACCTGTCTCACTGTCCCACAACTGTCTCACCTCATCTACCGCCCACCGTGGCTATCCCCGTTCCGGCTGGAGCGGTGATAAACATACGGAGCGGCACCGCACCACGTCACGTTAATTGATGAAGGGAGCTTCTTCAGAAAACTTGCACAATAGTGGGGGGGGGGGGGGGGACCAAACCTGTCAGCGGCCAGTGTTCAGTGTGTCGGCCATCGTGCGCTGTGTCCTGTCCACGGTTTGGCGTCCACTGTCCCTCTCCCTCCGCAGCCCACCTTTCAGTAATCAGTATCCATCGTCCACTGATCACTGTCTGCTTGGTCCTTGGTCACTGAAGTTCAAGACAAAAAGAAGGGCGGAGATCCATCATCAAAAACACTCTTGAATACAGTGACTGTCTTGTACTGCAGTGAGTGGCCAAGGTATTTGTTTACCGAAAGCTTTATAAAGCTTTCGGTAAACAAAGCTTACATACATTTATGTAGCTTGTACATAAATTATTTTAATAAATAATTGACTTGTTCTTGTTATCATTTATCCTAATTGTCTTGGATATTACACAATTGTTGGTCAATGTTACAGTTCACTAGCTGTGTAATCAGACCGTCGTTGCTCGGCCGTTTGCTACTATGTACTCGTATTTGCATGCGGCGCTGATCACCTTTCCGTCACTTCTGACTGGAGATCTGCATCTGCTGAGTTACATTATATGCCATTTCCAACGCAAATTAGATCTGTTCTTCGAGGCGGACCCGGGCGATTTCTATTTTTCCCATTTACAGGTTATCCTAACGAGGTGAAACAGATTTTACTGTCGATGGAGCATCGTCAAAGTGAATCATTCACCATATTGGAAAATGGAACGCTATTTGTTAAGAAATACAAGCGTTATCGCGCGGAATATTTATGAAGATATGGTCGCATGATTCATGACCGTCCAGGGCATAAATTTGTGTAACCAAAACACACATCACTTTTGATGACAAATTAAGCGGCGATCAGTCAGTGTGGCACGCCCTCGAACATCGCTCACACGGTGGGTCGCCCGACGCTGACCTGTTGTGTGTCTGTGTGCCTGTTTCAGGAAAATTTGCGCCAACTGTAAATGTGACCGGGAGAGTCACGACCTGTGCCAGGAAGACTGGGTGAACGTCAGAGACCGGCTCGGCTTCACAGGCGTGCTGGAGCCCGACAAGTGAGTTCTGCGCGCCCATACACAGACCGGGACACTCATACGTCTCAGGAATTCGTCGCGATATTGATGAGTTGGTTTTGAATAATTCAGAGACCGGCTCGGCTTCACAGGTGTGTTGGAGCTGGAGAAGTGAGTTCTGCGCTCTCCGATACACCCACTCAGCAGATCATCGTGATTTGTGACACTTGTGTGAGTTTTGTATGTAATAAGTCACTTATTCAGTCTTTCACGTCGGGCCCCCGCAGTCCCCTTCCCGGTGTTGTGTCGAACGAGGGACAGTTATTGGACTGGGAGAGGAGACTGGCGACCAGACCCGGACCATCACTTGCAATGAGATCACCCTGTGGTCACGCTATTAGCTCGATCCGTCTGTCGGACGCCGTGATGACGCGACTCCACCCAAACACATAGCAGACTGCTGAGCAGGATCCGCAGTACCTACTTACAGTGGTCACCCACGAGACGTCCGTACGGCTGCCCTGCTCACCACAGTTCACGAGCGGACTTCAGTCACAGCATTTACATCACACTCGTGTCGCCTGGCCCTTCTTCCCTCCATTCAGAGAACAGCTGCTCCCCGCTGCTTCAGAGAAGGGCCCATAATACCGGGATCATCGGGAGTGGGTGGCCACTGTTGCTATGACTCTGACACATAACAAACCGTCTCCTCTTCTCTCATGTGGCATTCGTTGTGACCGTGAGCGGTGGTGGGAGTGGCAGCAGCGCCGTCCCAGCGATAACGTTTGGACATTAGGGGTTCCCGGGATAGATCGCTGACGAACGGCTATATGTAGAGCAACTGTCGAGCGACAGTCTGGCGACGCGCCGTTTGGGAAGACAGTCTGGTGACGGTGGGCGACAGTAGGCGACAGTGGGGCAATTTATAGTGGGCGACAGTGGACGACGGTGGTCGACAGTGGCGTGATGGAACAGTGGAGTGACCCGAGTGACCCTTACTTATATGGGTTGCCATTTCTCGCGCCCCTCGCTGATCAAGAAAATGAATTTGCTGCGGAAGCTCGGAACTGCTGCTTCCTTCAACGATGGGCTGCACCTACATGATGGTGGTCGGCAACTGACGCTGCTACACTTTCGCTCTTATAGATGTCGGCTTATGCGATGACTGTTTATCTCTCGATTGATGTGATAGGCGGGCCCAGTCACGGCTGGATGCTGGTGCGTGGGAACTAGGAGACGGAGAAGATTCCTCCGTGAAGACTCATCCTCACGCTTGGATTCTTTTCTCGCAAACAGGGTGACGCGATCTCAAGTCCAAAGCTTAGGCCTGAGCGTTGAATTTCGTAGAGTCTGGCCTGCCGGCTATTGAAGCTGTCATGCATGGTCCTGCGTTAGCGGGTTAGTTTCCATATTCCGTGCCTCAGGGATGCTAACATGGCTCAGTAGGAAACCTCTTTAGTTATAATGTGTGTTAAGGTAAGTGCATGCAGTTGCAGCATCAGTGCCGGTTGATGAATTTTGAGGAATGCAAAATTTTAACCCAACTCGGGGAGAAGAAATTCTCTTTTATCATTACCTCTTAGTTTATTTGGCAGTCGAGATTTCGTAAAAGATAACCAATGAATTTCACATGAAGAGGTTTGACTATCGCAGATGGGGATGACTGAGATCGTGAGGTATAGTCCCTGTTCCCCTTCCTGTGTGAGCATTCTGTCAGGCTGGCTGGCCGTGCGGGTCGTGCCAGCGTGGCCGGTCATCTGATAAACGGCAAATCACTGGACCAGGGGAGGGGGCGATAAGGGAGCCGTCACCGCTCGGCCGGCGACAGCGCCGCGATATTGGGTGCGCTGGCGGCCCACAGCTGGTCTGCGGCCGACCGCCGGCCGCGCCGCCGCCATATGACGGTGGTGTGACCGAGGGCTCACCCCTCCCCTCCACTTCTGACCGGGTCAGGCCACACACCGGGAAGTGAGGCTGCCCGCCGCCAGTCAATAAACGAGCGCTTATCGCGCGCGCGCCGCGCCAATGATGACGGATTTAGTGCGTGGCGTTTGGTGTGTGGCTCAACGGACCGCGCGTGACCCTGATAGCCACGGAAATGCGACGCAGACTGGTCAGAGGAGAGTGGCTTTATGGTCTGTTGTGTCGGAATGTCTTTTACACCAGAATTAGTTACAAAGTAGGCAGAAATGCAAGGTGTGCATAGTTTTAATGAACAGATATATTAGTTGGTGTAAATGAAAGTAAACTGTTATTGTTGTTCATAACGCATTCGAATCACGAATGTCAAGAGTAAAATTTGTGTTGAAGGTTTTGGGCTGATGCACTTGATCTTCCGTCTTTTTCAGTCTGTCATGTCACCACATAGGCATTTGCCGACGAGTGGTGATAGTCTTTTAGGAGTTCTCGTGCATTCAACATGCGCCGACGGTTGGGAAAACTCAGTCTGGCGGCTGGCTAAATATAGAACTGAAATCTTTCAGCACCCACGTATCGGGACACATCACATTAAGCATCATAGCACCTACGTATCCAGACGCATCACATTAAGCATCATCACGTCACCCTGAAACCTTCACCGCCCTGGGTCCCTGTGCGACCGGTCGGGACACCGATTGATGACCGGCTGACGGTCTGAGACGGCTGCAGCGCCTCAGAGACCGGCGCCGGCCGTCCGACAGAGCTGTCAGCTCCGCTCGTGACCGACGGACGGCGACCGAACGGCAGCGCTGAACACCCGGTGCAGTGCGGCTGCATTATACACCGAGGGGCGCTGCAATGACGTCCACCTGAAATCAGCATTGACGGCGAGAACAGTGGCCTTGTGCGGGGAGGGAAGGTCGCGCTCCGCTGCTGCCGTATCATCGTTTTACAAGAGTCAACCGCATGGAGGGAAGTTTGAGAATGACCAGAGGACTCGGAGCTCACACCTCAAAGAGCTGGGCGGACTGGGTAATACATATGGTGACTGACTTGTCAATAACCAAGTCTCAGCGATAAGTCGCTCCGAACCAGGTTGTTTAGAGGCGACTGACTTTCAAGTATCGTTTGTTTGCGACGTTCATTTCTTCGCCCTCCTATCGATCAACTGACACCTGCAAGTTGTTGACATGCAATATCCACTTGTCAGCGTCGCTCTCGTTCTTGATTAGCTATTGTGTGCATGATATCTCTGGGTTAGGCATTTTCTTCTCGGGGATGCGAAAACCTCAAGTAAAGAATAAAGATGAAGAGCAAATGCAGCCGGATGCTATCTTCGACTGTTAGATTTCGCTCCCAGTGATTGAACACATCGGTGTGTAATCCTAAATCATATCATCTTTTCTGCACCACCTTCATCATGCTACTGCCAAATACCACTCGTCTGCCACCTGGCATGCGTCGGCCGCCTGCACCTTCTACAATATGACACGGCGAACAAGTACCGTGTGCCCAGTGTACCGAGAGTAGGCCCCGTCCAGCCTGCCTGACTCCGCGCCGTCTGTCCAGTGTTATCTGCTCTCTTCCCTTGCATGGAGGCGCTAATGCTGTTTTATGTAACGTATCATAGTGCATTACTGGGAGTGGTTACGCCGCGTCGGGCACAATGGTGGCTGTTGCATGTGATAAGTGGCAGACGCCGTAATATCCATGATGATGATGTCCTGAGATAGACTACCGTATCATGAGCCGCCTTCTTGAACTGTAGAAGGGTTTCGGGTAAACTGCATCTTCCTTGTGATCAAATGCATGCACGTATGCCAACTGTGCTGCTAAAATTGAAGGGTTGCAGTCACCACGTTTAGCATCTAAACGCGGATTAGCTGGAAAAGTGCCACCAATTTCAGCGTGCTGAATTTTCCATAGCCCTCTATTAGCGGCAGTCATTCATCTATATATTTCACCCAGCAATTTTCCAAATCTGCGCTCCGATGCCAGACGTCGGTGCTAGATCCTTTAATTCCAATGTGACGAATTATTGGTGTCTGTCCGTCCTCGCTGTTCCAATTTTCCGTTTAGTGAGCTCTCTCACGTACAGGAATTGTTTCGACATCACCAAGCGTCCAATCCTTCAACTACATTCGTCAATCCTACCGTAAAATATGGGTCCTCGGTATAATGCGACGAAACAGTTAACGTGAAAAGCAGAGCGATATCAGGCGGCACAGTGGTAAGAGAAATCCCCAGAGCGGTCCGCTTCAATCACCTGTGACAGGGACGTCCGACAGCTCCTCTGCTCGCGGTGATGAAACGCTCAAGTTACGTCTGGAATGACATCGGCCTTAGCCTTCAGCCCGGTTCCGACGTTACGTCTGTCTCAGTTGAATCAGACAGTGCACGCTGTTCCGGTCGACCCGGCGTCGCGAGGACCATACAAATTGGATTTCACCGTTTGGAGTCCTGCGACTGTAGTCTGTGTGTCGCTGAGGGTTCGTGTCTAGCTATCTGCCGGTGCCTACTTGCATGCAGTTTTGGCCGACTCACTGGTCGGCGCCTGACACCTACAGCCCCGATAGCGGGCGATTTCGGCGAGGGGCGCAGGAGAGGTGCTCACTGAATGCCAAGTGGGAACTTTGGTACCGTATGCCCCGTGCTTCAACAGCCCAACATTTATGCTGTGTTTATGAATAATTATATGGCATAACTCACCCAAGTCGGCGGTTTTATCACTTTCCCTGCGCCATCTTTAGGAGTCAGGTTCTGTAGTGAGGCGTCAAAATAATCATGATCGACATCTATGCTCTTACCTGTTGCATGGCTAGATTTGAATGTTTAAAATTGTGCGTTGATATGCTTAAACGTGCTAGTTTATCCTGATCAAATCCTCTTGCCCGCCTTTTTTCGCTTGCCTTTCTCTATCTACGGTCCCAGTGTCCAGCGTCTGTGACTACTCTGTCTCGACACACCCTCCCCCCTCCCCCTGTGATCAGGTGCAAGTATTGCACCAGTTCCCCTCCCTCCATCGGCCGTGTCGAAACGTACGCGGCTCGTGGCCAGCATACCACCGGAGCCCGACCGGGGCCGGGCCGGGGTCGGGTGCAGCAGGCTCGTCCAGTCACGCTCCAGCACCGTACATCATCTGTGGCCCGCCTTTGGATGACGGCTGTGAGGGCGAGGTGTGCGTTAGCACCAGGCTGAGAGCAGAGCTGTGAGGATCTGTGATGAGCGTGATAAGACGCTGTAGCAACAAGAGCCGCCGCAAAACGCTCCAGCATCGATGGTGTGTTTGGTGGGATGGAAGGGTGCAGACACACGCGATTGGTACTCAAGTAGTAAACAGAATTACCAAATGGGGCTGTGAGACACGGTCGGTAATATCAGTTTCACGTCTGTGCCCAGAGCTGCATCGCAAACTGCCTGGTTATGGATTGTAGGGAGGGTTTCGTGACCAGGGCTGTATACAAACGACTGGACAGCACGCATTGGACTAATCGCGAAATATCTGTTTCTAGTTAGCTAGGGCCCAGAGGAAGTATTACGTTTGAAGGTTACGGACTGTTTCGTGTTTTTAGATCAGACTGGTGTTGGGCGCTGTCGTCTTTGCGGCTCATAGGTCGCCGCTGCACGACTGCTGCGCTGCGCTTGTGACGAGTTGTGATGTTCCCCTCCCTCCATCGGCAGTCACAGATGGTGGACAGTGGCACACCTCTCGAGCGTCATGACGTCACGTCTGACTCAGGGAGACCTTTGGACACCTGATGGGTGGTCCTATTTGTCCGGGTAGTTGAACCTTTCTGATAGCCATGTTCGTAATAATCGAGGATTATCAGGCATAAAATAATAGGTGTTCTGCCAACTATGCATCTTTAGTTTTAGCATGGCAATTGGTTCAGCCATTCGGACAAAGGTTGAATCGATGACTGCTGAATGTGAACACATTTCAGCAATGCCAGTCAAACTAATTGCATGGCTCAAAACATGAGCTTGCATGAATGACTGTTATCTTTAAAGCCAATATACATTTAGGAGGCCGTTTCATTTTGTCTGTCCCGCCTCTCGCTTACTAAATGTTCCGTTGTCATGCACTCGTGCATCTGAGAAATACGATTCCGTGCTGCGTGATTATGCAGTTTTGCGATGTGTCGGCTACATCTGAGGGCGCTAGCCGAGACGGTTTACGACCGTTGGTGAAGTGATGAATGCGGTTTGCTCTAACTCTGCCCGAATTCGGCTATCTTCGTTCGCCATTTAGATCGGTTACAGTCGAAGGTTTAGGATTGACGGGCCCGCTTCTGTTGGTGGCCCCGTTCATGTCATCGCGCAGTATTATTCTAAGCTGAGAATCGCCTTTGTGTTTACTGAGAAACGGAAGGCGAACTCTCTGTTCATGTCCTTTCGTCGCTTGACAGAGCAGAATTAAGATGTGCCACTTATTTGATATAAATTGCAATAATCCATCGTGACGACATAAAAATGCGTACTGCAGATGGTGCATTTTATTACCCGTGCATCTGAAACTCTCATTCCTCTTTGTGTCAGAGGTATGCCAACCGGCATGACACACACCAGATCCTTAATCAATGCGCACGAATGCAGAGACACAAAGTAGACTGCAGCAATGTGCTCGGCTGCACGTGCCTGCATTCATAACAGCACATAGCACACTCCTTGTTCGTGACTCTCGGTCTCAGTAATGACTCCATGGTGCTAGCGGTTGACAGGTGAATGGAGTTTAATTGTTTTCCAAGTCATTCTCAGTTGCTATTAACGATCTGCATCTCACAATTCATCTGCTATTATTAAAAGGAGATTTGTGTGCTTTGAACATGCTCTTGGCAGAAGTCATTTGTTTTCTGGCATTCATCTGTGTAATGATACGATCAGCCTTGTATCAGAACCACACTTCTTATGTTTATAGGTGTCATTCGTCGAGTCCCACCTTTTTGTTGTTAGCTGTATATAGTGCGGCATTTCAGTACTTCAAGTTCACCCAGCGGCAGCTTCTGGAGCAGTGGCACACGTCACGCTCCCGAATGCGGGCCTTGTTTTTACGCGTGCTTGATCTGTGTTGCTAAACTTTGTTTCTTCTCATCAATGCTCATCGTGTTTTTTTTTATCGATGTCTCATTTATATATTTCGACCATAAATCCGCTTTGTGGGACACCTTGTAAAGAAACGAAACGGAACGAAATGTCACCCTGTGCTGAGCGGTGTTTCTGGTAGAGTATCGTCCTGTGCTGAGCCGTGTTTTGGTGGACTATCGTCCTGTGCTGAGAGGTGTCTGTCAGACTATCGTCCTGTGCTGAGCGGTGTTTCTGTTAGACTATCTTCCTGTGCTGAGCCGTGTTTCTGTTTTCGATTGCAGGCGGGTGTCCAAGGACAGGGCGTTCCAGCAGGGCTACTCCTGGGTACCGCCCGGACTCAGTCGAGAAAAGGTAACGTTCACAGGCACCTGCACCTTAGTCCTCGCTGTCCTTCAGTTACACGTATATACGTCTTATGCGGCCCTGCTCACACTAATGGAAGGTGTAAATAGGAAATGATCAATGATCATAGATGCAAATGAGCTGCTACGAGAAACAGTTACCGTGTTTCGGGCATTTTTAGCATCTCTTGATTCCTCATGATATAACTTCTAGCATACTGAAAGACAGTGTAATCAATCCAATGGTCAGTACTTGCAACGGACATATTTTTTCATGAAAAAGACCTACAGGCGATGCGCCCTATCAATACTTCTCCCATTCTCCTACCAGGGCCATTTGGGACGCCAAAAATGGCACAAGGTTATGATTTATTGGCATGGTAATCCTATCACAAGAATGACAACATAAATGGAATCATCACCAACACGCCTACACCTCCTTAGTATTCTTAGCTGTAAACTTCAACTGTTGACATCATCAGTCCCGGTCTCACGTCATCCATCGGGCGTGATTACAAGCTCTGCGGCTCCCACCAGCCTCCCGGCCCGTGTCGACCATCCATCGCTCGCTCTCCCCGCCGAGCGGAGCTGGGAACGGCGTGATCGACAGCCTGCTTATCACCCGCCGATGGTCGCCACCGATAACACCGCTCTCCACTGGCCAGTGACGTCACGGCGCCGCTCGTGACATCACGACGCCGAGATACACCTGATCCGTGACATTGTGTCACGCACCCGAAAAAAGTGGTGCGCTCATTAAAATGAGAGAAAAATTATCACATAGTTGCACTATTTTTATTCCTCCTTACATCGGGAGTGCATCGCCATTTCCCAAAACACACAAGTAATTGACAGGCATTTTTTAATTTTGTGGGAGACTTTTTGTCTGCAAGAGGTCGTTACAACATTCTAATGGATAGGACACGCGTTGCAGAGCCACATTACTTATAGCATCCTTAAACAGTAATCTTCAGCGGCACTTGTCTGCTGTTTCTGCAAGATAAGTGAACATTTGTCCTGCAGCACTACGAAGACTGTTGGTCCCTGCAGTGTCGTTGGATGCATCCCAAAATAATTTATCTCTAAAATGATTCAGTGAGCCGTCAGTTTGTCGCGTAGTGCTGGTGGTAACGTAGGTCGACATCGTGAGATGTGAGCGCCGACATATTAAATCTGATGGCCTATAGCAAGAAGGCCTGAAGGGCCCGAATGAATGACTCGAGCTGGGTGTGAATGCTTTCTCCTCTCTGGGAACGTTCAAAACTGCCTAATGGTAAGCGCTTAGATTTGGCTTTGTTTTGTTGATTGTTAGCTGTTCCCTGCTGGCAAAGGATGAAGGCAAAACTTTATCGTGATCTTTTTACGTGTTTCCCACATCACCCCGACCTTTTATTTGTCAAATAAGGCCGAAGCCCCATTCTTCTCTCAAAATGTTTGCATATGTAACTGAGTCATGATTACATCATCGACTCCAGTTCGGCTACGGCACCGGAACTGGACTTGGTGACCTCTCTGGCTCCCTGACTGACATTGGCCGCATGGTGAGACCGATCGGGCGCGTTCCTTATCCCCTGGTGATCGCTCACATTCCTACAGTCCGGGCATAAACTGGCAACCGCCGGCCGGCCGCTTGATTACAAAGTCGGTCGGCCGTTTATTTGGCAGAGCCGCGATGAAGAAGAAAAGGGTAGGAATCCGGGGTGTGGAGTGGCACCAAGAGTCACTCTAGCCAAGAGTTGAATTGTCTATATTGGTCAGTGACACTTATTTTTTCTCCGTAAAGATAATTTGTGCGTAAGTGCTGTTTTCAGTGTTCTAGGATTGATTGAAGTTATGCGTTGATATGATTAAAGTGCGTGAATAATTTGTGAATTCAAATATGTATACCTAGTTGGTTGATGAAGTTTTGCTTAGAGCAAATTTTCCAAGTAATGTGCAAATTCAAACAGCGATAAAAATGAGTGCAAAATCAGCAATTGCGGATTTGTGGTTATACGATGATGAAATAGCAATTTCTTGATTCTCGTAATTAATTCATCGGTCCGTTTTGGCTCGGGGGAGCCGAACAGTCATTCGCCTCACTCTCTAAAGAGGCGCTTTTGGACGCTAGTCATGCAGGAAGCCCCATGTCAGCTAGCATGTAAACCCATGGCAAACACCAGGCAGCAAGTCTCGGCATCAGTGTCGGTAGCGCAGTATCAAAGCGTGTGTTGACACTCGCTGAGTATGACACGGGGCGAACGGGTCCCTCTGGGCGCGTCTGAGTCCTGTGCTCCTGACGAAATAACTAGACTGATCCAGGGGTCTTGACGCATGAGAAGAGGTCACATAACAACGATACATTCTTGGAACTATCCCTCTAGTTAGTGGCTGTTCATCTGTGCAAGGTTTGGACGAACGTTTTGCTCGTTAATGTGCAGACCTAATAACGGTAATAATGCGAATGTTTAAAGGGACTATCCCACCTTCTAAAATGTTGTTAAAACCAGTTAAATTGTGCCCGACTTTGTAGATTGGATGACCAGGAACACGGTTCTGGCATTTATTTTTCATTAAACATCTTAGGCTTCCCATATTCCAAACACAAACTTTCAAATATGTGACGTCACAGCCCAAAATTACCTCCTTCCCCAGGCCACATTACTGCCATAAAGCTGATTCTTTTTACTCTGTAGGCACCACAACAAAGTTCAGACCAAGTTTTAAGCGATTTTTCAACGAACAAACCCGTTTAAATCAGAATGACTAAACGAGGTGACGTCACACTAACGGTCGCTCCATGTTGAAGATGGGGCCTTGTACAAGGCCCATTTTCAAATGAAGGGAACGAATTTCTTCAACACCAAGAGGCCGCGGGGGGTTGCAACCTAGATAGATAGTGGTTTCTGAACCTCGCCGCAAACTTGGCTATCTCAACTCAAACCCCATGTTAAAGGTGGGATAGTCCCTTTGATCTGTTTCCGATCTGGACGTGTAAGCGCCCATGGCTTTCGACTTTATGCCCACTTTGAGATTAATAAGATATGTAAACTGTCAGCTAAAAAGTGTTATAAAGTCAGTTTAAGTTAACATGGGTCTCATATCAGTAAAACGGGGTCCAGGAGCAGCGATGCGCATGTAAGAAGGATTGATGTACAGTCTTTTTGTACAATCTTCTTTCGATTTATTCTCAGGGTAATGAGATAACCCATATAATGCTTTCCGATTTTTACTGACCCCCATTTGGTATATCGAAGTAGGGACTCGGCGGCCACTCTGCCTGCTCGGCACTCATGGCCTTCTGCGAGTCTCTTTGTATTCAGATAGAGCCGTCCATGAGTCATGCTCACTATGGCCACATGCGTGTACGACAGTGGCGGCCCGTTTGGGTGCTCAGCAGTCCGGTCACGCTCCGTCACACCCTCCCCTGCCCTGGGGTCACATCAAAGCCCCGCCCCGCCCCACAGACCGGACCCGGGCGGCGCTGCCCGCCGGCCGCTGAGCTCAGTTATGGCCATAGAGGCCGACTGCGCTATAAATCGTCCTCCTCCACCCCTCCCCCGCCCCGCCACCTGGACCCCCGCCTCCGACGAGGGCCGCTCCATTCACGACGGCTCGCCACTCGGCCGCGGCGCAACAGGCGGCTCAGACGCCGTCGGCGCCGACGACTGACGGGTGACGCGTCCTCCGGGTCCGCCGACGGACGCAGATCTGGTGCCTGCGGCACTCGGTCCACTCTGCACAGTCATGTCGGGTGCCGAGTGGGCACTTACCGTCACTATGGGGTCAGTGGAGAGCTGAGTGCTGCCGTACCGGACTGTTCAGGGTGACAATAGATCACTCCACCGTCACTCAGACCGGTCACAAAGGGTCTTACGCGCTGATCGAAACGCTGACATCGACCACACAGACGCACTTAGATGAGAAGAGAGTGAGGGGAAGAGGGTGGAGAATCTAGCTCCACAGACCGCACTATTTTCAAGTGTTTGTGAATTTAATTTACATCCAACAGCTCCCGACCTGTTATATCAGCTATGGGTGCTCTGAACGGTTTACAAAGCACACGGGGCTCATTATTGGCGGCACTTGTGTTGCCGCGACCTATAACGGCCTGATCCGACCTGCTACCTACCTGATAACGCGACAAGATGCTGTACTCGTAGGTATCAGTTGGATGCAGTGCAGCGTTTTGTTAGCCATCTGCTTATGCTGCGGGTCGCCTGAAATAGGTCCTTCCTGACAGAGATTGTCTGCAGTCTGCAGCAGAGGAGAGAAAATGCAGCACGACAGGCTATACATGTGTAATGAGTCATATTTATGGGGCTGGGGCTGAACTGGTTTGATGGTTTAAGAACACTAGACCTTGAAATAGTTCCGCTGAACTCATGCGGTGTTGTAGGAAAAGGGTATTACATTAAATTTCCTATCGGATTACATGTGTTAACCTCGCGATTGACATGGACAATGTTGACCTATGAAGTAAGCCGGTCAGTAAACGGTAGTGTCACATACCGTTTGAGGAGCACCCGGCCTGGTGTGTTAGTGCTCAGAGACGGTGTTTCCGAGCGTTTCGCTGCGATGTATGTTTTCCTGATAGTTTAGCTGATTCTTTTCATGATTACAATGCCTGGTACTGGTGTTGCGTTTATCCCCGCATAAATAAACGAGACGCGCACTATAATAAAGATTCCTTTTCACCACCAGCACCGCAACCGCCACAACTACCACAGTCGTTCCCCATTCCCATCCTCCATCTCTAACACATGTCTCTCGTTTTATCATTACAGATCGAGGAGTATATGAGCCAGCTGCCGAACCACAAGGTACCGCGGCTGGGAACCACAGGCGAGAAGTACCGAGAGCGGAACCTGGTTCACCAGCTGCCCGCGCAGGACTTGGCGCTCACACACTGCCGGCACGTGGCGCCCGAGCAGCAGCGAGCGTTCCGCGACTTCGTCCAGGCGAGAAACGACATCGCGCTAGACGTCGGCTTCGTCCGAGAACTCAACCATTCCTCCGTGAGTTAGTAGCAAGCTCTGCACTCAATCACTCATCTCTGAGTTAGTGCCGAGTTCTGCACCCAATGCTCCGTGAGTTAATAGCGGGTACTGCACTCACTCATTCCTCCGTGAGTTAGTAGCGAGCTTTAATCTGTGGGCAATCTGAAACATTGTTTCCACTTATTTTAGTTTCAACCTTGTTTCTGACACAGTTTCCCTTTTCCTTGAATATGTAGTTATTGCTACATTTTTATATATAACGTAAGGTCTTAATGATTCAAATGAACTTCGGAACGGCCACCCATGGCCAAGATCATTGGTGCTGTTGATCGCACCCCTCTCGTCCTTCTCACGCCCCTTCTGTATCGATCCATCGAGCTATCGATCTCCAAGGCCCCGTTGGGCTGTAGAGCAATTTCCGGCCCGGCCTTTCCGTCGCCGCGGTTGGTACTATGACCTTTCACCTGGCAGATTGGCTGCCACCGCCAAACAAAGCAGATCGCCAAATTAATTTGCTTGGCAAATTTACTTTCGATGCGCCCGCCTTCCTGTCTGCCCGCCCTTCCGACAGTCTTTCTTCCTCTTGTTTGTAAAGCCGCCTGAGTTTTTGTGTGGAGCATTTCGTTAGCATTTTGGCTCAGTGGCATGAGTGGGATTCTGCCATCCGCATTAAAGCTGTGATTGATATATCTTTTGGACTTTTTTAATAGTGAACGTGTTAAATTATTTCGCAGTGCAACCTGCCTGAAATGATCGCAATATCTCTATAGCAATGCAACCATTGAAGTTTTTGATCCCATCATTATCTGAGAAAATCTACTACATATACCCGTAACTTCTTGCTACACCACACAGTGTCTCATCCACCATATCGATATGCAACGTATTTATCTGAACCTGCTCTATTCCGTATTCTGAGTTTGATGCCGTTACGCTAGATTTAACCTAAAGGCTAAAACTACTAAAGAAGTCGCGCGCGTACACGTATAACCCCCCCCCCCCTCCTCCTCACCCCCTCCCGGCCAGTGTCCCCCCGGGCCCATTTAGTTGATGAGTTGACAGCCGACAGGGCGGCACCGGTTGCCGGGCCGCCCTATCTTACCACCATCTCTAGAGTGACGTCACAAAATGACGACCCGTCTTGTCTTTGGTGCGGGCTATTGATATTTTTGACACGGCTGGAAATACCTACCTTTCAGAATCGTTCCTTTCTTAGTTCTGTTTTTGGAATGAAAAGACTGTTTTGATATTTCGGTGCTGGTTTGTCTTCTAATGTGTTCAGTCGGTGTACTTACTGTCCTGGCTCGTATGTACTGTCACCAATAAAAGCCTTTTATTTTGTTATTTTCGTCTCATCCGTGTCATATTAAACGTGTTCGATTTTGTGCCTTTTCCCTGTGCTCACAGTTGACGCCCCGTTTGTGTTTTTATTTGTTCCAGGAGTGCCGCAAGTGCCAGGGTGTGATACGACACGGCGAGCTGGCCGTGATAGCTCCTCGCTTCGGTGATGTAAGTTCATCGCTCCTAGCCGCGCAGAAATGCTGATCCCAGTGCAAAGTTTTACACTTTGGTACTTTGATGAAGTGCAAGAATGGCACTTACATAGCGGCAATCGTTAATTGTAGAAATTCCTGGATTTGTTGTATTTCTGTCCTTATGGGTTATACGTTATATCCTTTTAACTGAAGTCGTGCGGCTTTTCCTTTTGGCTGCAGTTTATTGTAGACAACCTGTCAAGATAGACTTTATTGATCGACTCCCACCAAGTGTTGGCAGAAAAATTTATGAATGTCGCGGATCGCCTCTACCCTGAGATGAATGGTAGTCTTTGTAACTGGATCGCGATACTTTGAACTATTTTTGTAGTCGGATCTAATTAGAGGCACCTTTGCATGGATCACACCCGCCGGTATTATAGACCAGTTCCTGTGATGTCCGCACACGGGTCGGATTACTTTCCCCTCTGATCCTCGCTCGGGTCAACAGACTATAGATGATACTTCCCTCAGATCTCGGCCTCAGATCAGCAGTGTGAGACATCTGACCTCAGACACCACTAACTACCTCTCAACATCAGGCCCCCCTTGACCTCAGCAAAACTAATTGCCTCACCGATCTGGTGCCCCGTCTGGGTGGACCAAATAGTTCAACAAGCCCTGCTTTGGTGTTACAGCTTAATTTGTGTAAAACCTTTTTGCGTCGCTGAGCATTACTTTACCAAAGACCTCAGCGACGTTGCATGTCTCGAATTGATTTAGCGTTGATCTAGCAGGAGATCATTGACATCTTACATTTTGTCTTGAATATGTTTCAACGCTAACTTGAGAGACATTGTAACAAATAGTAAGAAAATTAACCTCACTCTCATTCTATCTAAAAGTAAATTCCGGATTCGAAATAAAACAAACTTTTTGAGAAACCGCCGAGCTGTATGGGCTTCCCAACCGCCGAGCTGTATGGGCTTCCCAAGGACCACAAACACGGCATTCCCCTCAGACCGATAGTATCCGCCTGTGATGACCCTCTAGATAAACTGACTTGGTTTTTGGAGAAGGTAGTTTCACAGCTCATTCCCTATGTGCCAGCCCACTTAAAAACACGTCTCAGTTTCTGGATCGTGTATCAGAACAATTTCCTGGGGGGTTTGAACCAGGTACGATACTTTTCAGCATCGACGTCGTCAACCTCTACGGCAACATACCAATTAGGGAAGCCATCGACGCCACCATGGCCCTCCTCGAGCACCATAAGGAACGGGTGGAAACTTTCGGTTTGGAAGTAGCTGACGTTAAAAAACTTTTAGAACACTGCATGACAAACAACTTCATTCGGTTTGGATCAAAATATTTCAAACAGACGGACGGCATCGCCATGGGCAGCAGGGTGGCACCACCACTAGCAATTTTGTTCATGCATGCCTTAGAATCAATGTTCCTTGCCGCCCAGCGCCTCCAGCCCGTCCTGTACCTGCGGTACATAGACGACGTCTTTGGGGTCTGGACACATGGGAAAGAAGCCCTCGAAGAGTACTTCAACTTTCTGAACACCATTCACCCAACAATCAAGTTCACGATTGAGCATACCGCCGATACCGGTTCATTGGCTTTCCTTGACACCAAAATATCAATTTTGGAGTCTGGGTCTTACACAAGTGAACTTTTCGTAAAACCCATGTCATCACCAGTGATCGTTCACTTCCGCTCAGCGCTACCCCTTTCCACAAAGAAAAACACAGTACGGTCACAATTCTTACGGGCCATCAGGGTCTCCTCCCCGGGACTCCCTCGGGCGCGCAGTTTGAAAACAATCCAGGACCTATTCGTAAAAAATGGCTACCCTCCTCACTTAGTCAATCGGTTGAAAAACGAAGCAGTCCGAAGAGCATCAGCCTCTCTGACTCATGCCACTCAGCAACAACCCTCTCAAACCTTCATGACCCTCCCTTTCGTGGATGATGAACTCTGCCGTAAGACAGAAGGCATCATCAGGAGTAGTCATCTGAACATAAGGGTAGCGTGGAAGGGAGGTCCCAGCTTGAAGAAAAAACTGGTTAGGTCAGCCTACCTTCCTCCACCGTGTCCGGGGGCAGGTAGGCGGTGCAATGGGTGTGAGGCAGGCCTTAAAGGCAAATGTCACCAAAAAAATGTCATCTATCGAATGGACTGTAAGCTGTGCGACGAAAACGCATCATTTTATATCGGAGAAACTCGCCGGTCTGTCAGGCTCAGGTACAACGAGCACATCAGAGATGCTAGAAACAGAAAAGAAGACACTCCCTTTGGCTTCCATCAAACCAAACATCCAGATATTCAGCTGGGCAGCGACAACATCTCGATCCAAATTTTGCATGTCTCCAAAGACGGTCCAGACAGAAAGATTTGGGAATCAATATACATTCGTGATCTGAAACCTACCCTTAACACACAAACCTCATCGTGGTCTTTGATACGGCGTGGTACCTGAGCCTGACAGACTGATCGACATCGATCAACTGTTTGCAAGGTGTATGTCCTATTTGTATGTTGTATGTGTTTGTGGTTTTTTTCGCTGTATGTTTGTGTGATGAATGTATTTAAGGTGTTTTACTTCACAATATCTGGGCCTGCTATGTGTTCAAAAGAATCTGTTCAAAAGAATGATGCACGATACGATACGAGGTTTATTTGATGGATTTGATGTTAACTTATACGATGTTTATTTGATACGATGTCGATCTACATGCATGTGTGTAACGAAATGTTCTTGCGCCGCCAACTGTTATATAATATGAAGGAAGTACTGGATGAAATAACTGCAGACAAAACTATCAGCCCGAATGCATATTTTCTCAAATGTTTGCGAATAAAACTCCAGAGCTGATGATGGCGCAATGCCGAAAGCTTCTCAAAAAGTTTGTTTTATTTCGAATCCGGAATTTACTTTTAGATAGAATGAGAGTGAGGTTAATTTTCTTACTATTTCTTACATTTTGTAATGTCTGTACTGAGAGTTATTCTCCATTCTCTTCTTACCGACCGTATGGGGACAATAGGCCATTGTGTGAGCCATTGAAGCCATCCCTCGCGGAGCGATCCCTCTCGCCTGTCGCCGGGTGGCTCCGAGCGCCACCTAGGTCTCTCCCAGCGGGCCGCGGCTGTGAGATGGGAGGAGCTCAGAATCGGGGTGACTCGGAGCCCAGCGCCCGGCCAGGGGGTGGTTGGGCCAACTCGAGGGGTTAGACTCCTAGCTGCCGTTATGGATTAGGTAATGTGGTATATCGCTGAATGTTTGCAGATATTTGGCTAGGTCTGGTAGATGCTGCATCTCCACCTTTTGTTGGCATTTAATGATTTCTATCAAAAGAAAGGACCAGCTTAAGCTCGGGACAAATAGCTGATTTTTATTTTATTTACATTTCAAAGTAATTGTTAACACTTATTCTTATCAAATCTGTTCATTTAAAATTGGACTGTCATTGTCACCATACATAACTCCAATGTGCTTTGGCTGGTGTACCGTGCTGCCATCTGCGGGAATCCTGAGACCGTGTCCTACACTACCGCCACCTACAATGGGGGACCGTACTAAAGCTTTGTGAACCCACCACCGGCGGGCCTAATGCATCTCTGGCCTCTCATCGCCCTTTGCCCCTAGCGTTCTTACGTATAGATGTTTGCTTACGAATAAAACAAGGTATTCGGGCGAAACATCCCCATAATCATTCCCAAACAAACGTCTGACGCCTCGCATGTTTCGAAAGGCCCAGAAGGATCAGTTTCCCCTCTTCCTCTCGTAAGGCATGTCTCGTAATGATCGACCTCTCTTCCTTCAGGTAACGTGGCACCCTGCGTGTTTCGTGTGTCACACGTGTGACCAGCTCCTGGTGGACCTCACCTACTGTGTCTATGACGAGGAGATCTACTGCGAGAGGCACTACGCCCAGCAGCTGAAGCCCCGCTGCGCTGCCTGTGATGAGGTCAGTCCCGAAACACATTCACACTCACACGCATCACCAGACACGGGCCGGTGCGGTTTACCCTTGGCTAGGAAGTCGCTTGAGAAGCAGGTAAGAGCTTAATTTCCTGGGTCTAGTGAACGATACCAGAAGGCTCCTTATTCTGTAGAATAGTTCGCTCGGTTTTGTGCTTAGAGTGCGCAGCACTGCTCCTAGCCCAGCCATGCAGCATTCGTCTGTGGTGGCTGCGGGGCTGTCAATGCGCTGGTTTGGCGTCTTTCGTTAGCTAATAAGTTACCTCCTTGATAGTATCAGTTCCGTCAACAGACTGCTTTTGAAATGTCACATTTGAGATCTGTAAAAACAGCGGCATCCACACGTCATCAGCCAACTTTTTCATCGGCGCACCTTCTGGAGGCAAAACTCTGGAGGCTTTACATTAGTATTGATTGAAACAAATTTACAACGTTATGCAATGTCAAAGAAAATTGCATGCATTACATCATTACAGTCTTATTCAGTATGTGTATTCACGTAAACTTTCCTTCATTATGGCAAGCTCATCAGTCAAAACATTTTATAATAAAAAACAAGTTATAAATACTGCGCACATAAATATATGACCTTGTCTTTCATTATTCGCCTGGGCTGTGACCAATGGCCATGCTTGCTCATATGTATCGCTGCAACAAACGGACCACGATGTGCAGTGGGGTAGGTTTCGACACTAGCGCTCCTGAAGCTGGCGAGGACACTCGGGTGGCGATCTAGCAGTTCTCCTCAGCGTCTTTTAGTACAACCAGCTATCGCTTTCATATGCGAATGCAACTGGAAATGATAATGACCTCATGGTCATGATGTGGCAGCTGATAGATCGTTCTTCATGGATGTCGACAAGTGCTACGCTGGTCTTGGTTTGTGGATTGGATACTTTGCTAAAAATGATCGGTGATTAAACAAACATTCCACACGCTTCCAAGAACGGATCGGTGCCGTTTTTCTTTGCTTTCACAATCGCTGACTTTGTCTTATTGTCTATTTATAATTCACCCTCGCACATTAGAAATGATATGACGTAAAGTGGTAGTTCAGTTAGTTAGATCTCGGTAACTTCTCTTACTGTTTTTTTTTTTAATCAAACTTTTACTCATTGATATTTATTTATAAGGCATAGCTGAAGATAGCTCCAGCATACATACTTCAGTACTGTTTCTTATACATTTTTTTTTCACAACTTTCATATTGCATTTGTAAATTCTAATTAAGTTACATAACGTACTTTGTGTGAGCTGCAGCGGAGTACCTGAAGCGTATCACCGCGTCTTGCAGATCACATTTCTTTACAACATTACACACACATCTGGGAGACATTTTGTTTAGTGCGGGAGAAATCTAAAACAAACCCACCTAATGGCGTCTGCGTCTCAGCAGCGGGCTCTCAGCAGTCGTCTCCAGCAGTGACGTCAAACACGCCGGTCCTGGCCAGGCCGCTGTTTCGCCGGGCTTGTTTTCTCTATCCGTCGGGGTCCGAGGACGACCGGGGACAGACGGCACGGACAGACCAGGTGAAAATGGGCCACTCCAACCCCAGAGGGTGACTGCGAAGTGCGCTGGTGACAGGGTTGCCGCGCTGCTGCCAAGGCTGACGTCGGTTGCGACGGTAGTCGGGAAACACAACCACTCTGTGCTTCTGATGTGGTGCTATGGGCAGCACAGCGGCGAGTAGTCTGGGAAAACGCCGAGTGTCGCGCCTTATGGCAGTCCCCACTCGGATGTGGCTTTGGTGGCTCAGACGTTTGCTCTTGGAATTAGGCAGAAAGGCAGGACAAATAAAGGACCGTCACAAAGTCATCCGTTAGCGCCGGATACTGCTTCGGGCTCAATGAAGCGCCGCGTTTGTCCTCGTGTTGTAATATTTGTACACATCTGACGTCATTTGGTGTTGATGAAAGGTGTCAGCATGGCGGCGCGCCTAGCTGAGGGCTGCCAAACGGAAACTGGTCGTCAACCGGCTGGCCGCCGCCCACTCGGGGTGTGACATTAATGACCACCCCTCACCTCCCCCTGACCCGAGTCGGAGTCGGAGTCGAGTGGGGGGAGTGCATTATGGAGCCCGGGTGCGGCTGTCACCAGCTAGTGATTCCTATGTCACTGAGATAGGGCTTTGGCAGCAGGCGATAGTGTATCAATGTCTGAAACTGTCGAAGCATTGGCATTTGATAATTTTCGGTGTGCTGCGAAGTTACGAAGTTATCATAGTTTAGTTAGTTTTATCAGATTTTGGTTTATCATTTGTGCCTCGCTAAGCAAGAAGGGAAGATCATTCCGACAAGGCCTAGGTACTTATTTTGCTATGTACATTCTCTTCATAAACTTTATTTACGTTTAAGATGCTGATTTTTTCATGAAATACCAGGCGGTATATCCCACCCACCGAATAATTGTACATCTCTTTTCTGATTCCCGTCTGTTTCAAAGTCAGGGTTGTCGGCGTAATTAATGGGAGTCAAATTAAAACATCTTTGAGTCGGCGAAGAGCAAGGGCTAATTATAAATTTGATCCCGCGTGTAGATTACGGTACTGGAGAAACCATGGAAACGTTGTAATGAAATTGGAATTAATTGGTTCCTGCCTCCGGTGCAGCTTTCTCATATTGTGTTCAGTTTCACTCTCTAGTCTGTCCGCTTCAACAGGCCTTCGTCACTCTCGCTCGAACGCTCACATCATCAGAACGCTGCTGCTACTCACATCCATCGTCACTACTTTTTGTTCTCTGTCGGACTCGACCAGACCATTATCAGTCGCAGCCAGACTTCCCGTATCCTTAGGGACCAGCCTTGCTGTCTCTCGAACCAGCTTCCTACGTCCAAATCCTCAAAGTCGTACATACCAACTCAGACCCGAGAATGAATGCAATGACCGCCTTGGACCATCCCAAGGCCCGGACCGACCAGCTCGGACCAGCTCGGACGGTCTCTCAGACCAGCCCTCCGCCGCGGACCATTCTGCCGCCGGTCCGGGGCGGCGGGCGCGGCCGATCAGAACCACCGGCTAAATATACACACGACCGCGCTGGAACGCGCCAGCTCCGGGCCGCCCAGTCGGGGCGGGGGCGGGGCGGCTGACACCAGCCAGCCAGGTCCAGCTTCCAGACGGGCGCGGCAGCCGCGCCGCGGCGGGCTAGGGTTACCGCGCCGCCGCCGCTGGACAAATACAGTGGCTGGTGTGAGGCGCGGCGGGTCCACCGCTGCTAGACACTGGCATTGGGAGGGAGAGGGGCGGAGGACTAGCCGGGAGACTGGAGAGGATAGGGACCATGGTCCCTGCTGCAGCAGGGCCGCTGGAGAGCGTTGGGGCCTGCCGGGCTTATAAGGAGGGACAGCAGCACCGGGCCAAGTCACCGAAGGAAAGGGACGGGAATAAGCTAGGATGCTGAAGAGGAACGACTTCTGACTGGGATAATGGGGAGGCTGATTTTATGACTGCAGAGGTGTTTTTATTGAATTGAGGTGCAGTGAGTTTGGAATTTCGCATTATGTATCATTCACCTCTGTATTCTGGCAGCAGGTACGAATCGGGAGTTTGTCAGATTGTTTAATTCTTTTTCGCGCATGGTGCATACTGTATGGCTTTGACTGCCAACTAAAATATTATAGCGCAGGCTGAGCTACCACGGCTGTAAAGGCCTTTCTCAATGTAATAGCTGAATATCCAATTCTGAAGGATTTGAAATATCCGCACAAGCAATGGGTTCATATGGTGTGAAATTTTCATGACATGCCATTACCTGTGTGACTACGATACTGAGTTAAACATCACCTTCAGCGACACATACGGTAAGCTGGGGCTTTACTTTGAAGGCAGCTTTGACGTGACTTCCGCGCACGACACGTATCCCTGAAGCGTGCATTGCGGCACAGTATAATCTCAGGCGTGTGCTGGTGCTACCATCTAGCGGCCGGTGTGCGGGGTAGCGCCGGGTCGATCCTGCGGCCTTTGTAAACCTTCGCGAGCACCTGCGGACAAACTTTCCATGGTCTGATTAGCATTACGACGGTGATCGTTGTAAGAAACACTAGTTATTCCGTCGCAGCAAAGACTACAATTGTGTTCAACATCACATTTATCCACACATAGCCTTTATGACGCATAACGATGCAGCATGTGGTGATCAAATCGTTGGAAAGTTGACTTGAAGCACATTCTGTCTCTTAATTCTTAATTACGCAGTCGTTTTTCTCGCGTGGAGGTGGAGTCAAGTCACTCAAATTAGAACAATCGTTGTTCGCATGGAAGCATGAAGCTATGGTAAGGTGAAGACCAGCGGCTCTAATTGGTATAATCTCTACCAGAAACATTTGATATGAAAGTTATGTAATTTGATTACCGGGAATTCCTATCAATAGACGAACGAAGACATTCGTTTCATATCTGAAATAGACTCCAGTTTGTTTTGGTCAAATTTGCCGAATGGTAGTTGTAGCATAGTGTAATAAATAACACTATGGTTGTAGCTTACTGGAAATATAGATTGTACTTCGGATTTCCTATATGAAACATATTTGTAGAAATGAAAAACTAGCCTACGAACGACAACTACAGTTTTACAATTCCAGGCTATCTTAAAAAGGCTGCAGAATGCATTTTATCTATTTGAGACATTGCAACTCTGTTTCAAACCGGCTAGTGTTTAAAAAGTACTGAGTGAAAGAACACACGAAACATTGAAAATAGCATTAGCCATTTTATCGGTTAACTTCAAAGTATCTTGAAAAAGGAGATAACTAGCAGCATGTATGCCCCATCGCACTAGCTTTGATGACACTTCTTTGGCCTGTGACTGTGTCGCAGTTTGTGTGGCGCGGCCATGGAGGCGGAGAGCGCTCACGAGCCGCTGGCAGCGCGCGCCATCGGACCGATACGTGATCTGTTTGCCTTGGAGCGCGCCGCCCGGTCCGGAATGCATTGTGTCGCTGAGCGGCCGATTTTTACAGCCGCCCTTGTTTGCTTTGATGTTATC